CCAGGGACCCAGCCCACCTGGCACTGCCTCTGCCCCAGGACACCCCTGGCCAGGGACCCAGGGACCCAGCCCACCTGGCACTGCCTCTGCACCAGGACACCCCTAGGCCAAGGACCCAGGGACCCAGCCCACCTGGCACTGCCTCTGCCCCAGGACACCCCTCCCCCACCGGCCAGGGACCCAGGGACCCAGCCCACCTGAGATGACCTCGAGCAGCAGCATGAGCTTCAGGCCATCCCGGAAGTCCTCCTCGATATTCTCGATCTGTGTGCCCGCCTTACGGAGATGGGAATTGCACCATGCCGTGAACGTCTGGCAGAGGAAAGAAGAGCACGTAGTCAGTCTTGCCCAAAGTCCCATGGTCTCTAAGGTGTGTCCTGCAAGGGCAAAAAGTTAGCACCCCAAAATGTCCATGTGCGCATCTGGGGCAGAGAAGAGACGTGACGGTGCAAGCTCAGATGAAGAATTCCGAAAAGGGAACCCAGGGGGCTGCATGCACAGACTGCGATGCGGGGATGCTCGAGGTTGTCGGGAGGAGCCCCGGAGGTGTAGTGGTTAAGCGCTGGACGGCGATCCGCAACGTCAGCAGTTGGAACCACCAGCTCGAGAAAAAGACAGGGCTTTCTAATCCCATAAACAACTACAGTCTCAGAAACTCAACGGGGGCGGTCCTGCCCTGTCCTACCGGGTCGAGGTGAGCTGCCATCGACTCGATGGTAGGGTTTGGTTAGATTTGGCTTGGAGGTTATGGGGAGAGAGCAGCGGTTGGCGGCAAGGCCCAAAACACGACCCAACAGGTGGATCAAAAACCGAGAGGTCCTGTGCCAACACCGCCACCTGGTGGCCCACACAAGGAACAAAGTGATTCAACAAACATGAGCACCCCCTCCTGTAAAACTCAGGCCTGTTCTCGGCCTGGGGCACTAATGGCCATCTGAGAGAAGACCACTTACTCCCAATCAGACACATGTTTTGGCCAATGGCAGAACTCTGCACTAAATGAGTTCAGCTCACAGCAGGGCCAGGGAGTTGTCCTCCCACACTCCCTCCCCCCGAAAGAATGACTTACTCATCATCATACCAGCACCAGGCCACCCTAAAAATACCCTCCTCCTGGGAAAGGTCACCAGACTCCTGACCCACGCTACTTCCTCCTGCCCACGGGGAACTCCAGATCGGGGTGGCAACGGCGGGGAGGGCATGTCATGGCAGTGGTCACGAGGGGAAAAGATGTCAGGGAAGGGTCGAAGAGCCTGAGAGAGAGAGTGTATGACAGCCTCCCCCATGGTCTTCAAGGCATGTCTCACTAGGAACGTCACCCCCACAGCTCTCTGCCGACACACAAACTGGGAACGGGCAGCCTGGGATACCTCTCGATTGTCACACTCATCTTTCTAGGGCGAGCCTAAGACTCACCTCCTCCAGGAAGCCTTCTAGATAGACGCCGCTGTGCCTGGGATGGGCACAGAGTCCACAGCACGCTGTCCACTCATTCCATCCTACCCCACAAACCAACACTGCACGGCCACTGGTCAGCTCCCTGTCCCCTCCCTGCTCCTTGATCTCTACTGCCACCTGGGGGACACCCCAAGAGAGCGCCCCCATGTTCACCTTTGTATTTCTAGGGTCCTCAGTCCCAAGCCAGGGATACAGCCAGGAACAAGAGTGAAAAGCCTGCCATTGTGCAGCCAGCATGCTAGGGAGAGAAACGTCGGCCCCTGGGCGAGGAATGGGCGCCAAACAGATGCAGAACTGGAGGGTCCTGCAAGATCCAAGGGGCCTGTGAGTGGTGGGCAGGGGAGTGACAGGACACAGCATTTCTGGCCCCCTGGAATCGGACACAGCTCAGAGGCGGCAGCAGACACGGAGGGCATTTCCTGGGTGCCTGCCCTCTAGTGCTGGTATTGTGAATCTGATCCTGGAGTTTTCTTTTATTTATTTATTTATTTGCATTTTAATGTTATAAAACAGTATTAAAGCACTGTGCATTTTATAAAGAAATAATGTGCCTATTATTATTATTATTATTATTATTATTATTGGAGGCATAGTCTTTTCCAGTTCTCATCTGTCCAATGCCATTGACCCAATGGCCATCCCATTATACAATCACTTTGGAGACGAAAAACAAACTAACCAGTGGATTCTGACCACGGACATGCCCACGTGTGTCAGCAGAGAGCTGTATTCCAGGGGTGCTGGGGCCTGTGAACTTGGTCTTCATTCTAATGTGCCTCTGGAGGTTCGGTCCTCCACCTATTAGCGTTTTGTGCCACCCAGAGACTCCCCATGTTTGGGTTGAGGGTCTTTGGCTCATTTGTCAGCATCTCGTGCCTTCTTGCCTTCTCCCCAAGACTGGTCAAGCCCGGGGTGGTCCAGGTCCTGGGGGGAATGGCTTGGCGTCCCCCACAGTTGCTCGCTGTGACCTCACTGTTTTCTGCCCCATGGTGGAGTGGGGCGTGGGGGCGGGAGGAAGGAGGAAGAGAAGGCTTTTGTCAGAAGCTGCTGCTTTTGAAAGCGGAAAACTGATGGGGAAAGCAGCCGGCCGCACTTCCTGGGGAAGCCAGGCTTGGCGCCCAGAGACAAAACCACACCTGTGTTTGCTCAGGCCTCCAGCTCAAAGCCCAGGCGGGGGCAGGGGCGTCCTGGGTAGAGCGTTCTAAAACCCCAAACTTCAGACCCCTGGCTCCCACAGTTACCTACCGAGCAAGGCCCCGAGCATGCCCATTTTCAACCCTGTTCCCCCAACAAACAGCACCGCACACTGAAGTTCAGGCCCAACGAGGAGATGGTGGGACCTAGATTCGATTCGGCCAGCCCTGGGCTTAATTCTTGTATGCACTCTTAACTAGCTGTGTGACACCCACTCCCACCCCTCTTTTTCAGCATCCTTAACAGTAAGATGGGGAAGGTGACCCCCTAAACCAGGGATTCCCTAACTTCCGAATGCCACAAAACCCTTTAATACAGTTCCTCATGTTGTGGTGACCCCGCCCCGCCCACCGCCAACCATAACATTATCTCCATTGCTACTGAATAACTGTAATTTTGCTACTGTTAAGAATTGGGCAGCCCCTGTGAAAGGGTTGTTCGACCCCCAAAGGGATCGTGACCCACAAGTTGAGAACCGCTGCCTTAAACCCAGTCAATAGCAATTCATACTGGACTGTAGATGGCTGAGTACAGTTGGCCCCTATGGGGTTCTGAGACTATATATCTTCAGGAGATCAGACAGCTGGTAGGTTTGAATCAAGGACCTCGCAGTTAGCCGCCCAACACTTAGCCCACTGCCCTCACCCCCCCACTCCCAGTTCCTTGATCAAGGGCAAAGGGGCACTTTGTTGCCTCAGTCCCAATCAGACCCACCCACCCCCCCACCATACAAACTGACCCCTTTGCTCCCAGAGTCCCAGCCTGGGCTTCTTCTGTCATCCCTAAGGCCATGCTCCGGCTCACAGGCCGGCTAAGGGCCCACTCTGTTCCAGAAAAGGGGCTCAGGGCTTCCATGATCTCAGGAAAAGTGAATTGGGGGTTCAGGCAATGCTGGGAAGAGTTAGCAGAGTGGCAGCAGCCCCTCCCCACACTCCACCTCTACCCCTGCAGCTGGACTGCACAGAGAGGGGACAGCTGAGAGAGAATGTGGACCTTGTTCGGGCTCCCTGGACCTGAACCATGTACACATGTCCAATCGGGAATAACGGTAACTGTCCAGGAGCCTGGACAAGTTGCAAACGGGAGCCTGGCCAGTTTCCAACAGGGCGGGGCGGCAGGGAGGGCAGCACTCAGAATGGGCCTCAGGAGAGCACAGTCCCTCTGTCCACCTTGTCTGCAGGTTCAAGGCCTTTCTTTCACACAGATCCCACTAGCAAACTTTCCTTCTGCTTAGCCCAATCATTTCAATCGAGTTCCTTCATCACGGGTCTCAAAGACGCAGGGCTTGGGAGACCAAGCACACCCTGCTCTATCAGACGTCAGCCACACAGGCCTCTTGGAGCCTCCATCTTCACATCTGTAAAATGGGGTCAGCGGCCCTGACCAACAGGAATCCTGGTGGCGTGGTGGTTCTGTGTTCTGCAGTGAACCACAAGGCCAGCAGTTCAAAGCCACCAGCCGCTCCGAGTGAGAGAGATGAGGCTTTCTACTCCTGTAAAGAGTTCCGGTCTACCAGTTCTAGCCTGTCCTATAGGGTCCTTTCAGTCAGAATCAAGTTTGGTTTGGGCATTCACCAGGCAGGATGGTAATCAAGATTAAGTAAGATAGTAATATTGCCAATTTATAGTAATAAAATGCACTCATGAGCCTGAAATGCAGGAAGCAAGCATGCCATGGTCATCGTCGCTCACATGTGAACGTCAGGCGCCGAAAGGATATCCATTCATCACCTGCAGCAGAGATCTGGGTGTGGAGGATCGAGTCCTAAGTATGAGTCAGGGGCTGAGCCTATAGCCCTCAGAGCCTTGACATGGAGGGCCAGCAGCAGGGACGCCGTTCACCACAGGAGAGGAGTCAGCAATCTGGACTTTTATGGGCAAATCCCTATCGGTCTTAAAAACAAAGCAAGACACTCCTTGGCCCCTCCACTCACAAAGATATGGGACCAGGAGGCCCAACTGGAATTCCGATGGACTGGGTTTCTAGTTCCACAGTGGGATGTACCTACGAGATGCTTCCAGTCCCCTCGCAGAGCTACACCCGCTCAGACACGAGGGCGTGTTAGGGCAGCACCCACTGGGCAGACGCCTGCATTCACCCAAGAGACCACCAGGCAACATCAGCCTCCTGCGAGCCTGGGAGCAAAAGCTGATGGGGGCTTCCTGTCATCCAGGCTTGCTCAACAACCGACACGTGTCACAGGGGCCGCACACCACACCGCCCGTGAATGGTGAATGAGAACAAGAATTCCACCTTCCTTCGTTCCATCTGGTGGGTGGCGGGGGTTACTGCGAACTCACGATGTCAGGGAACAGGGACGAGGAGGCACAGGGGGTGAGGCTGCAGGAGGGGGTGTGGGACAGCTCTGGTGGGAAGCAGCCGGCCAAGGTGCACTAAAATGGGCATGAGCCCGGAGCTCCACCGGGACAGGCGTCCCTGAGTAAATAACGCTAAATAAAGCAAAGCAGCGAGCGTTCTCGCCAGTCTTACTTGAGCACCAACGCTCAGAAACAGCCCGAAGTTCTATGAACAGTAAGGAGCCCTAGCGGAACAGTGGTTCCCGTTGGGCCACCATCCTCAGGGTAGGCTGTTCGAAACCGCCAGCCACTCTTCAGGGGGAAGATGGGCTTGCCACTCCTGTAAACAGTCTCGGAAACTCA